CTAGTTTACCACCAGTGAATCTTCCTGAAAAAGAGCATGATTCTAGGATAGGAGGCCATCATCCAATCTTCCAGCCACAGCTGTGTGAGCCATCAGACCCCATTAAGAGGGGGGAGCATGAGGACCTGCAGGACTGCCAGCTGCTTTCTTTACATGGCGTGTCACGTCACCCTACACACCTAAAAGGCTGCCACCTGGACACCTCCAAATCTCATCCATATCAGTGATAGTACAGCCCCCAACCCTGAACCTGCTATCAGCCAAGGCCTGCCAGGCTCCGGAATTCAGCCCTCCTCCTCTGAGTCCCGTCAGCATTCTTGGCCACATCATCATTTCAGCAGTTCCTTTGTCTCATCTCCTAGACAAGCATATAAAACATCTCCAGTAATTTGCACATTAGGGATGGAAGCCTTCTGCTGGGCAAGCTGAGCACCCCTCATGATGCCAGGCCCCAGGCAGCAGCCTGCCCTCTTTATCCTGCAGCAAAGGAAAGGAAAGTACAGGTGGCAGTCCTGCCTCAGGCCCACCCAACTCCTTCCTTGTCCTGCTGAATGGGAAGCAACAGTAGGCTGAAGACAGACAGCATGAATAACCCTATCTCTGTCTGAGCCATGTCTTAACTATGTTGCTGGTCCCCAGGACAGTGTCTTTTTCCCCAGGCATTTTTCACATCGATGGTAGGCTGGTGCCAATCCATCTATTAAACAGAGGCTGACCTGTACCCTCAAACCTGGGACCATTGAATTTGAGAATGTGAGTTCTTCCCCAAAGGTGACACATATTCACAGTGATCTGGAAATCCTACCCCTAAGTGTTACTCAAGCTATAGCAACCCTGTTTTCTATTTGTTTTTTTGTTTTGTTTTGTTTTTTGAGATGGAGTCTTGCTCTGTAGCCCAGGCTGGACTGCAATGGCGCGATATCGGCTCACTGCAACCTCCGCCTCTCTGGTCCTGGTTCAAGCAATTCTCCTACCTCAGCCTCCCATGTAGCTGGGATTACAGGCATGAGCAACGTTACCCAGCTAGTTTTTGTATTTTTTAGTAGAGATTGGGTTTCATTTGGCCAGTCAGGTCTTGATCTCCTGACCTCAGGATCTGCCCGCCTCAGCCTCCCAAAGTGCTGGGATTATAGGCGTGAGCCTCTGCACCCGGCCTGCAACCCTGTTTACTGTAGGACAAATTGATACATATTAGTTTGATGCATGGTCTGGCAATGGAACAGTCAGGAATCTCAGAAAATCCCTCCCCATGGATGTAGGGAAGCTATGGGCACAGGAAGGCTGTGGGAGCAGGGGCAGACAGCCACTTCTCACTGTTGGGCAAAGTGTGTTCAACTTCAGTGCGTGCACGCACACACACACACACACACACAGAAGCAACTGTGCAACTCCCTTGCCTTTCCCTTTAGGAAGTACAGATGTGTCATACGCACAGTCAGGTTCATTCATTCACTGAATAAAATATTCGCTGATCACCTGCTTTGTTCCAGGCACTGTTCTAGAGTCTAAGGATATAAATATAACAGATGGGTTCCCTCTCCCACGGCCTCACATGCTGGCAAGGGCAAATAGACAATAAGCAAAGACATAATTATCCATCGAGTGTGATGAGGGCTAGAGCACTGGCCAGGGGAGATATGAGCCGGGGTCTGAGGGAGCTGAAGGAGTGAGCCCCACTGACGTCTGCAGAAGAGCCAGCAGACGGCAGCATGGCCTTGGCCAGGCAGAAGCAGTGTGGGAGTTGGAGAAAGAGTGAGGGGGGGCCCGAGGGAGGGGAATGCAGCTGGCTGGTCACTGGGCCTCTGGGGCCAGAATCTGCAGCCTCTGCCAGGCCTTTGGGAGGACTCCAGCTTTGACCCAGAGAAGAAAGGGAGGTGATTGAAGGCTTCGTGGGCCTCACCCCATAGCAACACCTGCTGCTACTGCAGCCTGGAGAGTAGCTGCCCGGAGCGAGGGTCCAGGAAGTGAGGATGAGGAGGTGGTGGGAAGTGGCCAAAGTCAGGGCTCACTCGTGAAGATGGCGCAGAAGGATTTGCTGTTGCGGAGTGTGAGAGGTCCAGGAAGATGCCTCCGAGGGCCTTGCCTGGAGCCAAAAGCAAGGGTTCTCATTTACTTGAGATGGAGAAGGTGACCAGTGGGCATCAGGAGCTCTGTCGGAGCACGAACCCCGGAACCCTGGTATGGTGCAGCTCAGACTTTCCCAGACACCCCAGGAGTTCAGGGAGGCAGGGGCAGCAGGGAGAGTGGGCGGAGGGTGCTCCTCCAGGCACAGTTCTGTGCCCACACCCGCATCCTCGCCTTTGGCTGTGGTGGCAGGACCACGCCGCCCTCGCTCTAGGAGGTCCCTGCCAGTTTTCATGCTCCAGCTCCCCCTTCCCAGGAGCATTTGCCCCTCCTAGAGATTCAATCTGTTCCTGGCCCACAGCCTCTTCCTCCCGGGAACTCCAGGCATGCCAAGGGGCTCCCAGGTCAGGAGGGCCCTCCCCACCTCACTCTCCTCTCTGCCCCTCATCTGGTGCCTCCCTCAGACTTTCTTGCGGACGGTGCCTGGCCCTCTCCCTCTGGAGCCAGAACATGCTTGTCAGGCTGCAGTTGGTCCCCATGACTGTTGGACATACCTGAGTTATTTCCCACATGCCTCTTTACTTCATGAAAAGGAAGGCTCCAACCTTCCATGGCCATTAAGGCTTTTCCAGAATCTACCATGGTGGCTGAATGCACAGAGGATCTCTAGGGGATTTGTGACTTCAGTGCACATGCAGACACGCTTCCCTCACATACAGCTGGAAATTCTCCTTATGAATATGCTCTAAAGTTGCTGGTTCCCAACCCTAGTATATTGACAAGTATTGGACTGGCTACATGAGGATTACCCCAGCCCCAGAGTCAGAGATTAGGGTTTCATGGTGCCAGGAAAGACCTGAAAATCAGGATTTAACAAATGCTAACACACCCCCACTGTCATTTTCGTTGTTGCTGCTGTCGTTTTTTTTTTTTTTTTTTTTTTTTTTTTTTTTTAGGACAGAGTCTCACTCTGTCACCCAGGATGAAGTGCAGTGGTACAATCATAGCTCACTGCAGCCTCGAACTCCTGGGCTCAAGTGATCCTCCTATCTCAGTCTCCCCAGTAGGTAGGACTACAGGCATGTGCCACCACACCTGGCTAATTTTTTTATTTTTTAGAGATGAGGTCTCATAGTGCTGCCCAAGTTGGTCTTGAACTCCTGGCCTCAAACAGTCCTCTTGCCTTAACCTCCTAAAGTGCCATTCCTCCCAAAGGGAATTACAGGCAGGAGCCACCACCATGCCCAGCCACCTCCACTGGTGTCGATCCTCGGGCAGGCTTGGGAAAACTGCTTTAGCTGTAAGAGGGGAGAGTGTTCTCCCCCCAGAGAGCTTCTCTAACTTTCTTCTTTAAACAGATCACTATAGCCTTTAGCCTGCAGGGGTTCCAAGCAGTCCATCACACATACTGGGTTGTACAGAATTTATTTAAGAACAGAGATGGGGAAGGTGGAGGGGGGAAAAAACCTGCAACCCTCTGCCTTCTAAAATTTAGAGCCTATTTTGGTGAGACAAGACTGTACTGTATAGAGCAGATACAAATAAATGTGTATTAATATTCTGCAAACAGCAGGTATAGCTGGCAGGCAAAATAGAAGTGAGGAAAAGCTGGATTTGTGGAGGCCAATGGAGCACTCGAGGCTGCAGGTTGGTAAGGAGTTCATGTTGCCATCCAAACTGTGACCCCTCTGCTTCTGTCCCTTGGTATGGAACAGCCCAGTCTGCGGCTGCAGTGGGAGTGGCTTGCATGTCACTCACTGAAGCAACAAAAGCAATCCACTGGACTGGTGGTGAGCTGGGAATCTCTCAAGGTAGTGAACTAGGAGGCAGGTGGGCCAGAGGGGGCCACAGGGAAATGAGATTGCTCTGTTCTTGCCTTTGCTGCCCTCGGGGCCATGTCCTTTGCCATGGTGCACTTCCTGATCCTGAGCTGACCCTCACATAGGCACCCACCCTGCATCCAGCAGTCATGAGTAGGTTCCCCCTCCCACTTTTTCATGAGAAAGGAGTTTTCCCAGAACCTCTGTAAGACCTCTGTGTTTATAGTGGAGAGAGACCCCAGGACAGTAAGGAGTGAGGACCTCCTCCGCAGGGATCCCACTGAAAGCCCATTCCACTCAAGACTGAGCTCCCACCCACTCAGAGGACTCGTGCTTTGAGCTGCCCCAGTGGGTGTGACAGGTTTGCTATAATCTACAGTTTCCCAAACTCACCTGCTGATCAGAATCCCGTAGTATGCTTGTTAAAAACACAGATACCTGGACTCCAAACTACAGCTAGTGAATCAGAAGCTCCAGAGGAAGGGCCCTTAAAAAAACAGAATCTAAGGATGGGATGAACTTGGGAAACTTCACCAAGCCGTGAACTTTCTGTTACCCATGGGTGACTTCATTCCTGCCACTGCTAGATAGCTGCTTCCTGGGCTGAGCTCAGACTGGCGTTCACAGAGAAAAAAAAAGTTTTTTCTGTTTAAAGAACAACAGCAACAACAATAATTACCAACCTTAATCAGCTACGTGCCAAGCACTCTATGGGGGGCTCTTTGGAGAAAGGCGGAACATGTCAGGCAATCCTGCCAATAGCCTAATGAAGCCAGGGCCACAGCAGTCTCCGTTTGTGAGATGGGGATGCAGAAGGCAGGGAAGTGAAATGTCTTGTCCAGAGGAATATGCAGCAGGTATCGGGCAGAGCTAGGTCGCTGGCTTGTGACCACTGCCCTCATCTCTTCCCCAACAGGTTAGCCATCCAGGGACCTTGAATTAACTCCCTCCAGGGTGGCCCAGCTCACAGCACCGCCAACACCCCTCCCCCAAGGACAGGGAAAAAGCAGAAATGGCAGCTTCTCTGAGAACCTGCAGTGGGCAGGTGTGAGAATGAGGTGCAATGGGGAGGACAGCGAGGGGCAGGGTGCTGACCTCTCTCCTGTTGGCTCTCAGGTACTGGAACTCCTTGAGCAACCTGGTGGCATCCTTGCTGAACTCTGTGCGCTCCATCGCCTCCCTGCTCCTTCTCCTCTTCCTCTTCATCATCATCTTCTCCCTCCTGGGGATGCAGCTCTTTGGAGGAAAGTTCAACTTTGATGAGATGCAGACCCGGAGGAGCACGTTTGATAACTTCCCCCAGTCCCTCCTCACTGTGTTTCAGGTAGGGACTCTTCTCTGCTGGGATTCGGACTCGGGGTGGTTGAGTGGCGAGGTGGTGGGGGGCGTGTGGAAAGCTGCATCCTTTCACTGGGCAGCCACAGCCAGCCTAGAGCAGCCCTGGAGGCCCCATGCCCAGGAGAGTCTTGAGATTTTTCTGCAGTTTCCCGTCCCCATCTGCCATGGAATTTCACTGGTGGATGGACCATTAGGGGAAACAATTTAACTGAAGTGGTTTAAAAACATCTTCTTATCCATGGACTCCTTTACTCAAATTCTCCGTGAAAGTCCGAAACATAAACAAAGAAAAACAGACTGCTCTTATTGGGGGAGGGGAGGGTGACGAAGCCCTGGCTTTCCTACCCACCATGCTTGGCGATAGGAAAAAATGCTACTGGCCCACCAAATTTGTGATTTCATAGATATTTTGGCCTATGGCAAAATTAAAGTGGCACTTATTTAAGTTTAAAAGTAGATTGATTTAGACGTAAAAATGAATCACATGTAGATGTTGTCAGAATCTTAAAGATGATGCCCCAATGATGAATGTTTGGGGAAAGCACGTGACAGTCTCAGCAAACACACAACTGCAAAGGGCCCTGATGCCTTACCCCCAGGAATGGCTGATGCTCAGCTCAAGCATGAGTGGGGAAAGTCAGAGGTCTTTGTGCCAAAACTTGTAGTCACTCTTCAAATAATATTATGCCAGTGGCCAAGCATTTTGTCTAAGGAGATTTCAATAGCTCAGAGTCCCTGGGGAGGAGACTTGGGGGCCAGGAGGAGGGAAAGAAGTGAAAGGGAAATTTTGGACAATTTTGTTGACTAGTGGGGCAGGGCAGGGTGGTTTTGGGTTTGCTGTTGGTCTAACGCTGTGTCCCTTATTGGTGGGAATGTGTCATTCAGATCCTGACCGGGGAGGACTGGAATTCGGTGATGTATGATGGGATCATGGCTTATGGCGGCCCCTCTTTTCCAGGGATGTTAGTCTGTATTTACTTCATCATCCTCTTCATCTGTGGAAACTGTATCCTTTGCTGCTGCCCCCCACCCCCGCGGCCCCCAGCCCCCAGCCTGCGGCGCAATGCCAAACGGGCACGCCCCCAGGTCTGGGTTGTCCTGCTCGGGGCTCTCACCACCCAGCCTAGAACCCCATGGCGGCGGAGGTGGGTCTGGGTGGAAACCTGAAGCTGTGGCATGGGGGAGGTTCACCCTCCTGAACCCTTCGGGGCCGCAGGAGCGCCGCGCTCCAGGCGTGCTCTCGTGGTAATCTAGGTGAGCGGCGCCCCCTGGCGTTGCGGCGTGTGCAGCCACTCACACAGACTGCGATAGGGACGCGCCGGAGCGGGCCGGTTGCCCTGGGGCCACTGCGTCTGCTCAGAGGCGGGGCGCTCCGTGAGGGAGGATGAGCCGTTGTCCTTGAAGTAACCTTCAGCTCTCCTCCTGCTTTTTGGTCAGCACCCCTCCCTCTGATGCTGTTCTCCAGGACTTTAGTCAGGCAGAGCTGCGCAGACTTCAAACAGCCCCCAGAGCTCCTTCTTTTTCCTGGCTCGGGCAGGTTTCCAGGGTCACAAACCATGGGTGCTGCTTCTCTTCCCCAGCTCATAACCCCGAGGGAGTCACGTCCGGAGCCTGGGGTAACACAGGAACAGCTCTGGGCCAAGTCGCAGCTAAGGCAGTCATGGAAGCCTGCAGACAAGGTTTCCTCTTTTCCCAGTTGGGTGACCTCTGGCAGATTGAAGGTCCTCTACCTCAGTGTCTGTAAAATTCGGCAATGGAATCATAGTACCTACTATGTAAAGGGTCTTTGGGAGTTTTAATGGCATCATGCATGCAAAGCCCCTGCCACGTCCAGAAGCCTCCTGGGACAAGTTCCTCTTCCCCTGCCTGGGTTTCCGCTTCTCTGAGTGTGAAATGATATGAATGTCTGGGTGCCTGGGGCTGGGAGTCAGACTTCACAAACTCAAAGCCCCGTCCAGCTATGCTTTCTTTGATTCTGCAGTTCTCTGACCCAGCGGGGTGGGGAGAAAGGGCAAAGAGCTGCCTCCCTTGGGAACTCCCAAGCCTTGGCCAGCTCCAGCCAGACCCACCAAGGGTCTTCGTGTGTGCAGGCTCACATTAGAGTTGGCAGAGATACCAATCCGCCCCCTCAGCGCCCAGTTATAATAAACCGCTCTTAAGAGCATTCTGCATCCTGCTAGAGACAATGGTGTTTATAATGTCAATTACAGCCAGTCATCTCAGCGGGGAAACCAATCATGAAACCCAGCAATTAAAGTGCAAGGCAGGGCTGGCTGCCTCACTCCCGCCCGCTCCAGTGTGCAGGCCAGCCTGTTCTCAACTCTAGATTGCTCCAGGTAGCTAGGAGGATGATGGGGAGGACGGGGAGTAGAGGAACACTGTTGGGGTCTGAATCCCTCAAAGTGATTCACCCTCAAGCTGTCTCTGCTGAGGAGCTCTACCCTGCCCGTCCTACATTCCCCCACCCCCTGCGCCACCAAAACCCCAAGCCAAGGGTCATTTTCTTTAAGAATGGGCACGAACAGATATCCTACTGAATGTGTTCTTGGCCATTGCTGTGGACAACCTGGCTGATGCTGAGAGCCTCACATCTGCCCAAAAGGAGGAGGAAGAGGAGAAAGAGAGAAAGAAGCTGGCCAGGTAACCCTCTAAACTTGCCCAGGCCCCGGGCTCCAGGGCCCCCATTCTGGAATGTCATCCCACTGGTGACAGAGAGAGGCTTGACTGCCAGCCTCTGTTGGCTGTCCCTCCTAGGAGGACTCTGGGTTTGGGGCTTCCTAAGTTGGACCTCTCTCCTAATCCTAAGCATTACTCTGATAGGGACCATCGTGAATTATAATAGTCTCTGCAATGGTGTTATATTCTCCACCTGTCTAGGAGGTTGGGATTATCTTTTGAGAAGCTGTGATAGGTGGCAGGAGTGTAGAGTGGGGAGAGAGAAATGCAACCACTCAGTTCAGTGGGGAAATGCAGCTCCAGCTTACAGAGGAGGTCCTCCTCACTGCTGCATAATTCAGCTCCGGTGTTAGGAAGGCAAGACGGGGCCCTGTGTTGTATCCTATCAGTGTCTAGATGGGACAGTTGTAAGCCACACAGCTGCCGGGCCCTGAGCAGAGCTCCTCCAGGAGCCAATCCTAAATGAGATCCACCATCCTTCTCTGCTTTCGTGACCCAGGCATCTCTGGAGCTGCAAGAGGCCAACTGTGTGTCAGGCAGAGCAGGTGTGGCTCAGCCCCATAACACTTGTGACTGAGCTGCACATGAGAGGTGCCCTGGAGAAAGGAAGATGGACACAGACCCAGTGGATCTGCCCCTGCTGGCCCCCACAGGCCACAGAGTGGTTCCCTCCCACACTGTTCCCTATCACTCCAGTAAACAACCATTTATTTTTTTCTGCTGCTGACTGGCCAGGACTGCCAGCCCAGAGAAGAAACAAGAGGTGGTGGAGAAGCCAGCAGTGGAGGAATCCAAGGAGGAGAAGATTGAGCTGAAATCCATCACGGCTGATGGGGAGTCTCCACCCACCACCAAGGTGAGGAGCTGTCTCCTTCCTGGAGCTGTGAGGCCAGTGCTGGGGAGGGAGGGCCACAGCCTTCCCAGGCCAGATCCCCATGGAGAAGAGGAGAGAAAGAAAGACACCCAGTGGAAAGAAAGCCAGTGGGGATGGACAGGAGAGCTGGGACGGGGAAGAGAAGGCAGATTGGCTGGATCCCAGCCGTCCCCTGATGTCCTGAAGGAGATATGCAGGTGACAAGGACATGTTATTGAGCTAAGTCACGGACTAAAATGAAACTGCAAGGCTACTGCAAGCCTCTTAACTTGAGGAAAATATCTAACTGAATTCTTCCTCCTTCTCTCCTGTGACTGCCTAGATCAACATGGATGACCTCCAGCCCAATGAAAATGAGGATAAGAGCCCCTACCCCAACCCAGAAACTACAGGTACCAGTCCCACTGCCTAACCTGGGATTGGGAGGTTGGGGACAGAGATCTAAATTCTAAAGCCACATGGAAGTGGCCATGTATTAGGGACTATGGTTCCAGTGTCCCTCTATAAGTGTCTTACACTGCTACGTGTCTTCTATCTCCATATTTAAGCACCATCAGTCAGCATCTGGGAGACAGCTTTGTTTCTGGTTTCCTCATAATGAGATCACATTTGAGCAGTCCTTTTGTGTCCTTTTCAAGCTGGATTTTGTATACATTTAAATTTTTGTTACATTACAGATTGTAAAATTGTTATTAATTTATAGAATGTATTAGTATGGCATATGTTGCCAACATTATGCTCACTTAATATTAATGGTAAATTCCAGATCTGCCTCGCCCTCACTCAGGAGGCAGTGCCGAGTGCAGGGACAGCTGCCACCACAGATGTCCAACTTGTTGCTTTAGAAAATGATTGCAGGTCCCTACAGAAGGAGATCTTACTGACTCCATCTTCTTGTGCTTCTGTTGATACATAAATTAGCAGGCAGTAGGCTTCTGACCTTTAATGTCAGAGGTCAGAGGTCCTCCCTCCAGGCTTCACTTCCCAGCTCCCTGAAATCCCATACCCTGTCCAAGCCCTGGGCTTGCCTTTCTCGAACCTAAAATTGCAGATGTGATCACCACTTACCAGCTTGATGTCAATAACATGCCATCAAGGGACTGTTGACTTTCCTGACATTTCCTTGTTCCTGTAGGTTAGACTATATTTGTGCTGTTCACCAAGTTAGGTGGCTGAGAACCTTCTACATTTGTGAGCAAAGCTGGGTTTCCCTTTCGTTTTCCCTCCGCTGGTTCTCTGCTAAGAACACTTGCAGGCATCTTCTGTTGTTCTTGGGAACCAGACTCCCTGTGGTCACACCATCCTCACTGCCCTCCTTCTGCAAGGGAAGAGGATGTGGTTTCCTGGAGCTTGGACAGAAAGAACAGGGCGTTTCCATGTGCATGCATTAAGTCTTTGAAGTTCTTAAAAACCCTTCTGGGGTGAAACTTTTAGGGAATTTCAACCACGTACTAGAATTATTGAACAATGCAATGGGAGTATCTTGTCTTGATCCTGAAGCAACAAATACACTTTAAAATGACATTTTAGAGGTAAGTGGGGGAAATTGAATAAACTAAACGATTTAAAGTAGTTTTGTTAATCTTGTTGGTAAAATATTTTGTAGTTCTGTTTTTAAACTGCTGAAGTGTTTATGGCCAGAGTCTAAAATGTTATGAGTTGCTTTGCTTTTAAAATACTCCAACAACAAAAAAATGGGACAGAGAAGATAAATGGAACAAGATCAGCAAGATGTGCAAAGTTGTTGACGCCGGGAATAAATATATGAGCTTTACTACGGGAGACTCTACTCACGCGTAAATCTTGAAGGTTTAAAACAAAAGACAATAATAAAATTCCTTAGGGCCCTGAGAAGAGCCTCCCATGAGGCCAGCCTCCAGGATGGGCCTCCCTGCACACATAGCAGGGCAGATCTGATATGAGGGTCTTTTCACACAGGCACCCAGCTGCAGTCAGGCCTGTAGAGCAGACACACCTCTTGCATCTTCAACAAGAATCTCAAAGTCTATTATTCTAAATACCGTATTCCTGGCTTTTCTCTTCTTTGTTGCTCTAATGAAATGAAAGAGAAGAATGTTGAGGGGAAAAAAGGGGCTAATGAGGCTATTGACACTACCTCAGCCATCCTAGAGATGCCTCTCATGTAGCTACTGGCGGCTCTGAGGACTGGGGGGATGCTTACGCTTCCCAGCTGAAAAGCTCTTCCCAACCTCTGCTGAGGCCTCAGGATTCTTGAGTTTTGTGGGCATATGGCCCACTCCCCATCATTTCTGTTGGTTGCATGCATCTCTACTTTTGTGTTGAGACCTAAGGCTGCCCTAACTGCCCCACCACATACACCAGCCACCACTGTGGCCTTTGAAGCCAGCCCCAAGCATGCCCATTTGTGCCCTACCCCCGGTCTCCCAGTCCTCATCCTGGAGATCTAAAGGGCAGCATGCTCTGAAAGCCGTTGGCTCCACACATTGCCCTACCCCCAAAGGCTAAGTCAGCCTGTGTTTCTCAGCTCTTCCTGCCTTCCCATTTCCTCCCTTCCCTGCTTCCAAAGTCAGCTCTTGGATCCTTTAGTGCCAGGGGCAGCCGAAGTTCCCAGAGACTCCTCTGAGGATCACATGACCTGCCGTCTCCGTTCTGGTCAATCTCTGCTTCCCTCCTGCTTCTCTTTCTTCTGAACCATGAATGGCAAAGAGCCTGATCTATCACTGTGCTCTCGACCTCTGCCCCTTCAAGGCCTCTGCCCCCTACCATGCCTAAGGGGCACCTGCATGAACTGGTGAGCGTCCCTCCTACTCTGCCTTGAGTCGCACTGATAGAAGAAAGGGCCAGTGCAAGGGAGCACACTGCCATGCTCTCCTGCCACCTCCCCGTCTCTCTCTTGCCCTCTGTCCTAGACTCACCCCCTGTCGTCCCCCTCCCTCTTAGGCTGTCTGGGTTGCACCCAAAGCCGTCTATCAGAGTGGCTGGACTCCAGAGTGTACTCTGCTGGCTGCTGCTTCAGTTGCCCTCGCATGACCATGAACTCTCAGAGGAGGGGCCTGTTTCTAATTCATCAGGGGGCCATTGAGGCCAGCCATGGCCCTAGAATCCTTCCCTCTCTGTTTCATCCGAAAAGCTCGCCAGCTGGTTTCAGCCTCCCAGACTGGCGTACCCTAATTATAGAGAAAAATCCCAATTCACTGGAAAGAAAAGCATTGTGCCCAGATGAGTGGAAGCTAATTCTACTTTTGTTTAATTTATTAATGTATTTGAGTGAGCATGTAGATGTTCGCAAGAGCCACTAAGGACTTAAAGTTAACAGGTACACATTAAAAAGAAACGCATGCCACCAGACACCGAGTAGTCAGCACCACCTGTGCTGGGGGAGGCTTTCATTGTTGCAAGGGGTTCAGTGACAAGGAGAGCCATGAGCTGGTGGAATCTGGGGGCTTCATACAGAAGGGTGGTCTTGATTGAGCTTTGAATCAGGGAGTTGGAGAGGCTGAAGGAGTTTTTGCAGGATTTTACAATAGTCAGAGATGCTGAGAGTTGGGAGAAACCTTGGAGATATTAATGAACTGCTCATGAAGCACTTACTATATGCCAGGCACTGTGCTAAGTACAGGGACATGGGGGTTCCTGTGCTGGATGGACAGGGAACTGACCCCCCTCCTGGAGCTGACATATCAGTGGGGAGACAGGCAGCCGGCAAACCAACTGAAAAGGTGACATCACACAATGTGAAGATAGTAAAATCAAGGATTGTATTAGGGGTGACTTGGGGACCAGGCTGCATCGACTGTGTGGTCAGCAAAGGCTTCTCTGAGGACACAGCATTTGCCTGGAGCCTGAATGATTCAAAGGAACTAGACGTGGAATCAGAGCAAAGAGCTCTCTAGGTGGTGGGCCTGAGTGCAGTCTTTTACAGGGGGATGCACTTGGCTGTGGGGACTCCAAAGAGGGCCAGTGTGTCTGAAGCCGAGAGAGCCAAGGGATAGTGCCCTGAGGCAGGAGGCCAGGGCAGGACAGGAAGGCAGGGCAGAAGGCACAGGGCCACGTGGGAGGCTGGGTCTGATCCAGTGCCCTGGAGGGCCACCAGAACATCTGAGCAGAGGAGGCCCTGACCTGATGTCCGACTCACCCTTTCAGAGATTCCCTCTGGGTGCTCTGTGGATAAAGGGTGGTGGTGGTCGAGAGCAGAACTGGGGCAGGGAGGATACCTGTACAGTATCCAGGCGGAGATGATGCCAGTTTGGGCAGGGAACAGTGCTGGAGATGCAGAAAGGGGTCAGGCTTGGGGTACATTTTGCAAACCAACTGGATTTATTCATCGCTTAGATGTTGGAGAAAGAGGAATGTAGGGTGACTCTGAGGTTTTCTAATTGAGCCAGTAAAGAGAAGATCCCCAATGCAGAAACTGTATCCACCACCTGCACTCCTGGTGCCCCAAGGCCCTGTTCTGGGTATCTGGCCCTTACCAACTGTGCACTCCCTTCAGCTGGTAGCAGACTCTTGTGCCCTGCTAGAAACTAAGCTCCTTGAGGACAAGAGCCACGGCTTTGTGTTCTCAGCCTTGGACTCAATACTCTGTAAGCACTAGATCTTACAAATGTCTTTACTTTATGTGGCCAAGAGCAAAATCACAGAGGTGAGGAAGGTGAGGATGAGCATCAAACGGAGAGGAGCAAGTCTTCCCGAGGACCAAGGCTGGGGCTTTGAGTGCTACCCTGGTTTTACTTTTGAATCCTCTGACCTGCCTTCTGGAATGCAGCAGCAACTCCAGAGTGCAGCAGAGCCTCACTTCCCATGCTTTTTCCAAACCTCCAAGAACAAAACTGAAGAAAGAAAGACCCTGATGTAGTCTACTGGCATTTGGGAGTAGAAGTCTAGGTGGTTCATTTGCCAACCCCAAAAGGAGCCTTGCCTGACTTTTCCTGATCTGTCAGCCTCCTGCCTTATCCATAATACCTGCTAAGCATCACATGCTGTCAAAGTTGTGTCCCTTTTCACATCTGAGTTTGTCCTTCAGAAACCGTTTCCTCTCAAGCACTGTGCCTGAAGTTCCGCTGCTATGTGTCTGAATGGACCAGCTAACTTGCTTTGCCCCAGGAATGGAGCTCAGCACAGAGCTTCGTAAACAGGAAGGGAGCTCATGCAGATGGAAGAGCCTGCAACGTTTTTCATTAGGAACTTCGAATGGCACAAAGCTATAGTAAATATGGGTTTCTATAAGCACAAAAGATTAAAATAACCATAAAATTACCTATTACCAAATTATCATGAAGGAGAAAGTGTTGGGTCATTTTGAGCAAAACTGAAAAGAATACAAACACCTGGGCAGGAATTTAAGATCCTTCTCAATTAAATCTCACTCATAAATATCATGATTTAGGCCAATCCTGGTTTTACTCATTCTACTTTAAGTAGAAGGTTTTCCTCTTACATACCAAGGGCTGGGTGTCACAAGAGCTCCAACTCTTGGCCTGTAGTCAGCTTTCATCTTGGGCCTCTTTTCTGCTGAAAAAAAATATTAATTGTCTTGCTGGTCAGCTCTGATCACCCCAGAGAAAGGATCTGATTGATGCCTGTGTGCTGCTGGTCCTCCAAAAAAGCCTTGGGTCCCTAAATGCTTGAATGTGTTTTGCCTGATAAAGAATTGCTTTCTGTGCCAGGCATATTTTTCTTTGCAGTACCTGGCTTCATTTGAACCAGAAGAGGGAGAACATGGAGAGGCATGGCTGCATCTGTGAGATGAGCGTCCCATAACTATCTTTTTCCAGCCAGACTAGTATTCCCTTCACCTTGGTCTTATGCAAAGTCTCCTTCCTTCTGAAGGGTGTGGAAGTTCAGTCATCATCAAGAAATAAAGACACCTAGTGCCAGGCATGGCTTTTCCTTCCAGGGTTTTCAGTACATAGAGAGAAAGGACAGACATTTGAAATCAGTCATGAAGGCACTGGAGGCAGAAGGTACTGCTGGTATTCACAGGAAGGTCATTTCCTGGAGCACAAGTACTCAGGAAAGCTGGGTGGAGGATGATATGTGGCACTGGGGGTCTTTGTGTGCTTTGCAGAGAGGGAGATGAAGAGCAGCTCAAACAGGGAGAGAGCATGAGGAAGGACAGGACACACAGTGAGTGTGTCAGCTCACTAGGGCTGCCATAACCAGTGACCACATGCTGGATAGCTTAAACAACAGAAATACATCCTTTTACAGTTCTAGAAGCTGGAAGTCCTAAATCAAGGGGTCCACAGGGCTAAGCGCCTTCTGGAAGGCTCTTGGAAAGAATCCTCACTTGCCTCTCCTAACTTCTGTGGTTGCCCGCAGTCCTTGGCTTGTAGATGCATCCCTCCGATCTCTGCCTCTGTCTTCACATGGCCATCTTCCCTAAATGTGTTTTTGTGTTTCTGTGTCTCTCCTTATAAGGATAACGGTAATTTCTTTTTATTTTATTTATTTATTTATTGGGACAGAGTCTCCCTGTCATCCAGGCTGGAGTGCAGTGGTGAGATCTTGGCTCACTGCAACCTGGGCTCAAATGATTCTCTTTCCTCAGCCGCCCGAGTAGCTGGGATTATAGGCACGCATCACCACGCATGGCTAGTCATTAGATTTAGGGTGCATCCTAGCCTAGAATAAACTTCATCATAACTAATCACATCTGCAAAGGCCCCATTCCCAAGTAAGGTCACACTGCGAAGTTCTAGGTAGACATGAGTTTGTGGGGGAAAGTGTTCAACCTGCTGTAGTGAAGTGTTCAGAATATAGTTTGATGTGAGTGGACCATTTGTCGGGGAATAATAGGTGGTAAGGATCTGACTGAGAAAAACGTCGAGCAGTAATTTACAGGCTTCAAGTCTCTCCCATGGATAGAGGTTGTAATAAAAGCAACAAACACTTACATAGCAGCTGCTAAGTGCCAGGCACCGTTCTGAAGTATTGATGTACTCATTATTCCACCTTAACCTGGAGAAACTGGGGCTCAGAGAAACTCAATAAAATGCACACAGCTAGAAAGAAACAGCCAGGATTGTGATCCAGGAGACTGGCTGGACAGACTGCTCCTCACTCCCATGTTGTTACTTTCCCTTCTGAGCATCTTAAACACATTTGCCTGGCGCAGGGTGTTCAGCGCTTGCTCCCGTGGGCATTGTGCTTGCAAGCGCAGGAATAAGCTGTTTGACTTCGGTCCACATTAAATATGGCCACTGGCCGGGAGCACAAGGGCACTTCTTTAATTGGCGTCAGTGTCTAAACCTTTGCATGAAGGGCCTGTGTATTGTCCTGTTATCTCAACAGCACATTTTTTTTTTTTTAAGTTTCAGAAATTGGGAAAGCGTTGGTTTTTGAATTCCTAGAACTTCCAAGGGTGGGGGTTATTTGCAAGGGCTTCCACAAGCCAACTAAGCCACATGCTTTCCCCCACCTGCCGCCTAGATAGATGGGTAACCCCTGGCAGTACCCTATCCTACCTGGTCACCTTTTCTCATACCTTACAACTAGGGTGACAACCACCTCAGTTTGCCCAAGACCAGGGGGTTTCCTGGGATGTGGGGATTTTGGTTTTAAAACCAGGACAAGTTGGTGACCCTACTTACAATCCCCTTATTGTGCACTGCCAGGTAAGTCTTTCCCAACAGAGATGAGCTGCAGCAGCACCCAAAGGGAGACAGCAGAATCTCTGCCTTGGTTGGTACCCTACATTTTCAGAGCCACAATGATGTCTGCCAGTAGGAAGGTCTCTGAAAGTGGTAAAATAAGTGGGAGTGCTGGAGTTATTTAGAATGGTGCTGTTCTTACAGGAGAAGATGATGAGGAAGAGCCAGAGATGCCTGTCGGCCCTCGCCCACGACCACTCTCTGAGCTTCACCTTAAGGAAAAGGCGGTGCCCATGCCAGAAGCCAGCGCATTTTTCATCTTCAGCTCTAACAACAGGTGTGTGGCATGGTGGGGAAGGTGGGGTCCTGCTCTCTAGTACCAGCCTGACAGTTCCCTGTATTTTACCTGAACCACTGAATGGAGCCTGAGACTCTCCCAGCTCCCTGCAAATAATATAAATAGACACTGATTCAGGGAAGAGTCCTGGATTTTGAATCAGAAGACCTGTGTTTTTTTTTCCTCTCCACTTTTTGAAATGTTTCAACTCTACTTCTGTCCTTGAGTGATTATGTGATGTTAAACAGTATCAAGAACCTCCTCCTGTCCATTAGATTAACCTTAGAATATTTCAACTCACTCATCTCCTTCCTTACACAGAATTATCATTAGTATTTTAGTCCAACTTTTATTCTTAACCCAACAAGTTAGTGGGTCTTAATATTATATAGATAGCGTGTGTTTGGATTTATGTACACCTTACCATTTTATTTGTTCACCATTTTTTTTACTCATTTTAGTCTGTCTTTCTGCGAACATTTTCTTTCTTCCTAAAGTACCTTCTTTAGAAGCTCCTATAGTTCCATAATGGCAAATTCACTTGGCCTCTACTTATCTATAACTGTCTTCACTTCTTGCTCTTGAAAGATAGTTTTGCTGTGTACCTCATTTGAGACAGACAGGTTTGTCCTGCAGCCCAAGAAAGGTGTTATTCTACTGTAAAGTCAGCTGTCATTCCAACTGTGATTCCTTTGTGGGTAACCTAACCTTTATTTGTAGCTGCTTTTAACATATTCTCTTGCCTTTGTGGTTGTACAGATTTACTACCATTTGTCAGGATGTGAATTTCTTCCCATTTATCTTGCTTAGAATAGATTGTGCTTCCTAAGCCTATGGATTCAGATTTTTATTCAGTTATTGAAAATGTGCAGCAATAATCTTTAAATATTGCTTCCCTTTAATTCTGTATTTCTTCCTTCTGACACTTCAGTTGGACATCTGTTAGACCTTTTCATTCTGTCCTCCCTATTTCTTAGAGGGTCTTACATATCTTTCATCTCCTTGTCTTTCTGTATTCTAGACAATTTCTTCAGCTGTATCTTCCAGTTTTTAAAATCTATTTTCAACTTAATCTATATTACTGTTTAAACTAATTTTTTATCTTGACCATTGTATGTTTTTATTTCGGTCAGTTCCATTTGTTGCTTCATTTTCCAGATCCATCACTCTAAATCTAATGGTTTCTATCGATTTTTCGTCTTTGTGATTTAGTCTTTTATTTCATGAAGTATTTCAAATATAGTTGTTTGATAATCTATATCTGATTTTTTTTTTTTTTTTTTTGAGACGGAGTTTTGCTCTTGTTACCCAGGCTGGAGTGCAATGGCGCCATCTGGGCTCACCGCAATCTCCACCTCCTGGGTTCAGGCACTTCTCCTGCCTCAGCCTCCTGAGTAGCTGGGATTACAGGCACGCACCACCATGCCCAGCTAATTTTTTGTATTTTTAGTAGAGACGGGGTTTCACCATGTTAACCAGGATGGTCTCGATCTCTTGACCTCGTGATCCACCCGCCTTGGCCTCCCAAAGTGCTGGGATTACAGGTGTGAGCCACGCGCCCAGCCTATATCTGATATTTCCAACACCCCCACGCTTTGGGGTCTAAATCACTTATCTGGTGTTTCTTCTGATTTCTCATCTTAGTGGCTTGTCCTTTCATGTGTCTGGTGTCTGATGATCTTTGATTGGGACCCCAACACTTCCTCTTCATTTGTGAGAGTCCTGAGGAACTAAAGTAGGACTGGGGAGACTTTCAGACGCCCCTAAGAGGTGTTGGCTCAGCCTAAGAGTCCCAGGCTTTCCTGCCCCACCTCCAGACTGGCTTAACCTGCGGTTTCTTGACACCACTGCTGTTACTGGCTTCCATCCTCTGGCAACTCTGCCTTCCTGGCCTTCCATACACAGCCTCAGCTCAGTGGGGGTTTGTGGGAGGGATTGTTGGTTTGAACTAGATGATTCTTGCAGACATCTCCAAACTCTCACAAACCAGAATTGTCCCAGAGAGTTTGACCCTTCAAGGGTTTGGTGCTTCTGCAGCAGGGGGGCTTCTCAGAGCATTTAGTCAACCATAATGCCAGCAGCAGAAGTCTGAAGGCCTGGGTTGAAGCCCTGACTCCCCGACACTAAGGCTGTGTTTCTGGGCAAGCCTCTCCTACTTGGGTTTCAGTGTTCTTATCTATGAAATGAAGATGATGACACCCATACCTTCCTTCCTACACTGTTGTCAAGATGAGATGGTTACAAGACGCTTTGGCATTTAGGAATCTAGAATTTTTGATACTGTCACTGGGTGCCTAGAAGTTCAACTGAATAATCGTGCCGGGGCACAGAAGTGCATTACACACAGGAGCAGATCACCCCCAGAGTCGGCTTGGCTGGCCTCTCAGCATACCCAGCTCCAGGGAGTCCTGTAGTTCCCTATGCAGAAGCACAGAGCAGATCACATAAAGTGACTTATTTTCAATGATAGGGAAAATAAGTCCCCAAACAAAAGCCAGTTGTTAATGTCAGAGCAGGATCTGGAAATTCAGAGAGTCCCCAAGGTCTCAGATGTAACCTTCCAAAATGTCAAAGGTGATATGTGTGCCATGGGGGTAAGGGGTTGTCATTGCTGCTGTCATAAGCAGCAGTAAGACTTCAGAATGAAGAGGTCACTTTAAGCCAACAAGTGCCTGTTGCCAGCTGCTGGGAAGAGCTGAGGAAAGGGGCTCCCAAGAGCCGACTGCTGCTCCCCTTGTCTGCCTTGACTTGTCTCTCCTCCTGTCCCCTTCCCATACAGGTTTCGCCTCCAGTGCCACCGCATTGTCAATGACACGATCTTCACCAACCTGATCCTCTTCTTCATTCTGCTCAGCAGCATTTCCCTGGCTGCTGAGGACCCAGTCCAGCACACCTCCTTCAGGAACCACGTATGCATTGCCTGTGTCCTCTGCACTCCTTACCCCTGGGGCTGTGCCGGGCCCACAGCTTCTGTTGCCAACATCATTGTTCAATCAGGAGCCCAATTCTAGATGTCAGAATCAGATCCACAACTAACATTTCATTAAGAGAGTAGGGCTTTGATAGAAAACCAACTTAAGGCCACAAGCAAGTAAGAGAGCATGTACCCAAATGCTTGGTCTGCTTTGATAATTGACAAAGGTCAGGACTTCCATTGCCTGTGGATGTTCCCCAGGAAGTTCCAGTTCCCTGCAAACTTGGGAAAGTGTGGCTGCTGACTACAGGCCCCGCCCTGCTCCTGGTGTACTCTGATCAGAAGGGGAGCATTGGCAAATAGGTGCCGTTGATAAGCCTGACCTTACCTGAAAGAGAGTCTTGGTGCCTTCTGTAGAGTGGAACCAAATGTGAGGACCCACCCAAGGCTCTGGTGAATAGCATTAACGGCCAGTTAAAGAATTGCTATATCTCAGAACTTTGTCAAGTCCCAACCAAGTGGGCATGAAGAGAGCCCACTGGTCTAAAGCCATACCCATGCCAAACCGCTCTGTGGCCCTGGGGCCTGCTTGGTCCAGGGCTGTCTTACTGAGGTTAGCAGGTGTTGGCCCCGTCCCTGATCCATCACCTGAGATATAATAAAGTATGCAATCCTGGAGCTGGTCCTCAGCCTGTGCAGACCTCACCTGAGGGATGCACCTCCCTTGCCCCAGAGGACATAACCCAGGAATAGATTTCCACCAACACAGGAAGCTGACCAGCTCAGTTTACCAACGTGAGTAAAGCATTTTGAATCTCCCTGCAAAAATACAAACCCCATTCTCCGTCCTTTTGACAAGCATCTCAGTGGTCTGATTTGGGTTTGTAAGTAAATTGGATTAATGGGAAAAGCATCCAACCAGATGCTGCTCAGATCCAGTACCAGCTGAGGCCTGCCCTAGAAGCTCACCTCACTTGTCTGGGGTCTTCAAGGGAAGCTGCTGTGCTGCCTGAGGCTAGCCCCACCTCAGGATCGCTGTGTGCGTGCCGCTCACCCCCATTTCCATCTGTGTCCCTGCACAAAGGCTCAAGCGCCATGCATCTCATTTTGAAGTGTGGCCCCTTTTCTGGTGAACATCCACCGACCTCTCCTCCCATCCTGCTTTTCTCCCTTCCTCATCCCATCCCCACCCTGTTCCTTTTTGTTTTGCAGATTCTGTTTTATTTTGATATTGTTTTTACCACCATTTTCACCATTGAAATTGCTCTGAAGGTAAAGCCCCCATCCCCCTCTGCTCCTCCTGAGCCCCTTGCGCCAGCACCAGCTCTCTGCCACTGTCTGTCCTAACACACATGCTCCTTCCTGTTGGTGTTGGGTTCACTCTCAGAGCCACTAATCCAATTATGCTTGTTTTTCAGATCCTAGGCAATGCAGACTATGTCTTCACTAGTATCTTTACATTAGAAATTATCCTTAAGGTAATGCAACCTGGGCAATGCATCTTCTGTCTCCTTTTCTGTCTATCTCTGCTCTGTCTGGCTGGCTCTTTTCTTTTTACTGTTTCTTTCACTCTCTCTTTTTTAACTCCCAAGCCTGAAATTGGAAAAACGAGTGCCCCTCGCTTTGTGTGATGCACTTTGCCCAGACTCAGAAGCCAGGAGCAGCCCACCCCCCCGCAGCCCCTCCCTGCAGCCACCCCTAAGCAGTCTGTGGCTTGGAAGGGACACATGTTGGCTGTGCCAACATTGAGGCTGCCATTTCATTGGTTTGGGCTGCAGCCATCAGCAGTGCCCGACACACATGCCCACACACCAGCTCCAGTTAATTGATACCTGAGCCCTTGTAGGACTCTCCTTCCCTCCTCCAGCATAGTCTCTGAAAGTGGGAAACCTCCTGGGCGTGGAAGAATCACTTCGGCTGCTCTCTTTGGATGCCCATCTGTCCTTAGCACCTTCCTCAGTATTTGCAGCAGACATTGAGTCTAAGCTGGAGTTGGGGCCACATAACAGCAATCACAGGCCTAGCGTGAGATGTAGAGTTGGTCTCCCAGCTGAGGGCCTCCCACAGGCAACTATAGACTACTGCCAACCCCTCAGTCACCTGCTGCAAAGCTTTGTCACAGTGTCCCTTGTCCTGAGTGTGGGGGAGGGAGAATTGTGCTGGAGAGCTGAGTTCAGCAGGGTGAGAGCAGGTGCTGAAGGAACCTGAGCACACAGGCCCCAGCCCTTGGCCGCTGCTGGCCCAGCTCAGTTCTGCTACGGGATCTGCTACAACGTTGCTTCCCTCAGAACAGGCAAAGCCCACCTCTGATAAACACTGGGATGAGAGAGAGTATTTCTCCATTTTTCTGGTGTGTTTCTGAGTCCAGAAACCACTGCATGGCCAAGCTAGTTCATCTGAGAGTCAGGGTGTGAGTTCCATGACCTCAGGGAACATGTGCTTCTCTCTGAGCAGGGGAGAAGATTCTACCCTTTCCCCAGACAGAAGGACTAAGGCTCTTAAGTCCATGCTTCAGCTTTAGCTTCTTCCTGGGAGACTGGCCTGGGACTCCCCCTCCCAAGGAGTCCAGGCTCCCTTGTCATCCTATTGCTGTGGCCAATGCAAGCTGACATCACACCTGACTAATGCCACTGCCAGCTGCAGGCCTTTCCTTCCCCTGTGAGACTCCCTCATCATGGCCAGCCTGTTGATGGACATGACAGTTCAGTCACTTCCAGAGATGAATGGGTTTTCGTGTGCCTTCCCCTGTGTCCTTTTCCCCAGGGCACTCAAGTGCCCCTAGCTTCCATCCCTGGTTCCTGCTAACCAAGTATGTGGCTCAGATTTTTCTTTTCTACTCATGGAGAGTAGGTCTGGCCAGGCTCTGGTTCCTAGAGGTCGGGAGAGGTGACCAAAAGCTGCGTGGCTGCACCAAGATGCACTGCGGCAAAACCTCTCTTCCGTGGCGAGCTGCTTTGATTCCCGGACTTCAGATGCAGGGGGGCACACAGACACCAGAGTTCTTTCCCAGGACAAGAGAAGCTCTGGGGCCCCATTCTCAGTGCTCTTCTGCAGAGCTGCCCTTGTGGATTTCAATGGTGCTATTTCTCCTTCAGGATTGCCATACAAGCGAAGTGAAAGGTCTCTGCAAGCATTGTCCTGGCAAGGTCCTTCCTGTCCCCCATCCCCTCCCTCTCCTACTCTCTTCTATACTCAGTGTGCTTCTGAATAGAAGCCCCAATGCCGGAACACTTCCCTGTACCTCCTTCCCACTGGGTCCCTCTTCCTGGCGTGAAAGCCCAATGTCATGTCGTGGCACAGATGATCGTGGCTGTCCAAGGGGGGACATTTAGCACAAGGAAGAGTGGAAGGGCCTGGAGATGTTTGGCCTTAAAAAGGAAAGGCTTGTAAGCCCATGACAGTTGGCCTGAGTTATGCAAGGGACTGTCACATCGAAGAGGAAGAAGGCAAATCAGGACCAGTGAGTGGAAATCACAAAAGATGAGACAGGTCTCAAAACTAGAAGAGCTACCTGGAGAGGTGGGGATGGCCCGTGGTTGAGCAGAGAGCTAGTGAGCCACGCCCCATTCCTTTCCTTCCTCAGGATGGAAACATCTCAGCAAGGGCTCCTTCCCAAGTGATGTAAAATTGGAAAGCAGGACCTAGGTGGCTGGCAATGAGAAAAAAAAAAAGGATCAAAGGGGGACAATTAGCACTGGGTACCTGAGCCCGGATTTTCCCGACGCCCTGAATACCACAGATGACTTTCACATAAAGGCTCCATTTTCCCCATGTCCATTAGCCCTTTCTTCCACAGCCACTCTTCCTCAGCCCTGCCTGAGGGCAAGTTCCCACCACCCCCATCTACACACACGTACTTTCTCAAGTGTTGGTCTCATTCAAGGGTCCCCAGACAAAACAGGAGCCCAAAGCCAGAGGACAGAGTTGGTAATCTAAGCGTCGTTAGTCCACCCATCTGAGTACTGTTTTCCCCAAGCACAGAGGATTCTGTTAGAGCTCATTAGTAGCCTCAAAAGATCCATTCCAGAAGCAAGAAGGGATCAGACCCAGAGCCTTCCTAACACTAAAAGTGAGGTGGCTGGGCAAGTACTGGGCCTTCTGCAGGCACAGAGGGCTCTTCAGTGGACTATGGGAGCCTCCTGAGTCCAGTCCCTGGCAGTCTCAGGTCTTCACTGAGAGGCAGGGAGGCAAGCCTTCCAGATGGTGGGTCTTCTGGAACGATACTCCCTTGCAACTTTTATATAATCTACCCACTTCTTCTAAAAACCATTGCACAGCACAGGTGCCTGAGTCCTGTGGGACCCCCTGCTGCAAGAGATAAATGGAAAGAATTAGGTTGCAAGAGCTATTTTTGCTCATTTCCCCCTGTGTTTGCTTTTGAATGGCTCTGCGGACACTCTGCCCTGGGCATGCTCTGATTCCAAAGAGATTAACTGGACCCCAGATGACCAGGGAGCCTTGCTCCACCTCTGCACTGTCAGCTCCTCATTTTTCCTTTTGGCCGATGCTTCCTGTCCTCTGCCTGTCATAGCCCCTATCCTGGATAACCATTGGCCCTTACGCAAGCTGGCAAAATGGGAAAGGCTATAAAGGCAATCTGTTGAGCACCTGCAGTGCACAGCTTTACACCAGTCTCAGGGGGAGGTAATAATGGCCAAGTCCTCTAACAGTCATCGTCATCTTGCGCATTCTCTTTTAAAAAGTTTCCAAAGGGCTTTCACAAAGGCAGGGGATAGTGTCCTTACTTTTGATGAGAGGACAGAACTTTCCTCATCCAGGAAGCATCCCGAATTCAAATCCAGGCTGTAGTGACAGCTCACCCTTTTACGGAGCTCATTGTGTGCAGGGTGGAGTCCTAAGTATTTTACATACAGGTTCTTACTTGATGCTTACAATCCTGTGGGGTAGATCTTACCCTAATTTTTCCAATGACAAAACAGAGGCACTAGGGGAATTGAGTTTCTTCCTCTAGGCCACAGAAATAAAATACCACAGGGCTGGGATTCCAGCCCAGGCAGCCTGGCCTATAAGAGCCTGTGCTCTTAGACACTGAGCCACATAGCCCCTCTGACCACACAGCTTTTGCCCTCGAAGAACCCCAGATGCAGTCTAGAAGCAAAACAGTAGAATTGAGTTTAGAATATGTGGCATCAATCATAAGCACCTCTGAGGCCAGAAAGGGGAGGTATGCTAATTGCCAGAGTCACCAGTGGAACTTCTCACCAGGCACCAGGGTGACCAGTCTCAGGCCTAGTTTGCCTAAGACTGAGGGGTTTCCTGGGATGCAGGATTTTCAATGATAAAGCAAACCTTGGCAAACCAGGACTGCTGGGCATGCCCTTCCCCAACTCCCTGCAGATGCCTGGTGCTCTCAGCTGGCCTAAGGACTCACGTGTTTGGAGAGGCAGTAGGGAAGTGTGCCCCCAGCCCGAGAGCATCAGCAAAGGGCCCTGCAGAGCCAAAGCTCTGGACTTGGGATGTGGAACAGTGGGAAATTAGAATGAGATGGTGGGGCCTACTTGAAAGGGCTTTGAATGTAGGACTAAAGAGTCTGGCATGACCTGGCAGGTGTTAGGAGCCACCCAGAAGTCCTGGGCTAGAGATTCTTGGGTGGTTGTGTGCATGGTTGCAGAACTCTTTTCTTGGCACCATATCGCCGTCTTTGTCCTTCCTATTCCCCATGGATGGTGCTTGGGACTTGCCCAAGGGATGCTGTGGGAAGAAGGGGTGCTGTGAGGGGTCTCTGGGCTAGGGCTAAGGCCACTCACACTCGTGTTTCTCTGTCCCTCCCTGCAGATGACTGCTTATGGGGCTTTCCTGCACAAGGGCTCTTTCTGCCGGAACTACTTCAACATCCTAGACCTGCTGGTGGTCAGCGTGTCCCTCATCTCCTTTGGCATCCAGTGAGTGGGACCCCCCTCAGCCCATGATGGGCCATGCAGCTAGCAAGGGGTGCTAGAAAGGACAAGCAAACCCTGAAGGGCTGGCCTGCAGGGCCATGGCAGTGTGGTGAGAGCAGGGTGGGGCCTCCAAAGCTGTGCGTGGGGCTTTGAGTTCTTAGATTCGTGTCCTCAGGGGTCTGACAGCTGGGACATGTTGATCAGGCAAGAATATGTTTAAATACCTGGGTTTTGCCATGACAGGCAGGGCCAGGCCCAGCTATTAAGAAATGGCTGTCTCCAGGACCTTCCTGCCTCCTCCACCAAGGCCCCATTGCCCTAGGCTGACCTTCAGCAATCCACAGTCTGCCACTGCCATGACCTCCCCTGACCTGGACCCTCCTCCCACTTTCTCTCCCTTCTCTCTCCAGCCAAAGCACCTCATGTGTGAGTGTATGTGTGAATGTATGTGTATATGTCTGTGTATGTGTGGGGCGTTCGTGTGCATGAGTATGTGTGGGGGGGTGTGCATGTGTGTGGTGTATGTGTGTTTGTGGGTGAGTGTGTATGTGTATGTATGTGTATGTTGACCAGTTGACCATGTGTATGTGTCTGTGTGCATATGTCTGTATAGGTATGTATGTGTGTATATGTGTACATATGAGTGTGTGAATGTATGTGTGCATGTGTGTATGTGTGTGACTATATTTCTGTAGTGTGTGTGCATGAGTGTACATGTGCATGTATGTGTGTGCGCGTGAGTGTGTGTTTTTAATTTCGCTGGTCTGGGGTACAGTCTGGGTTAGGGTTCTAAGCACTCTCCAGGTGACTCTCCTGTACAGCCAAGGTTGCAGATCTTGTTCAGGTGTGAAGGGTCTGATTACTAGTTCCTACCAAGTTCTAACAGCTGACAGTGTGAATCCTGCATCTTCACTTTTAGAACACTTCCACATACACATTTTTTCATGGTCCTCACACACATAAAGCTATGAGGGAGACAGGGCAAGTGTTATCATCATGGTATAGATGGGAAATTTGGGGTTCAGGACATCATGACACTTGCTCAAGGTCACACCTACGGTAGAGAAAGGCGTAAGTCCCAGGGCTCCTAGATCTCTCCTCCCAAGGGTGTTTTCATGACCGACTGAGATCAGGCAGGGACGGGGGCCTTGGGAAAGACCCTTTACTGTGATCATCGATTATATTACCCCCTATTTTCTGCCTGGTAACCTACAAGTCTAGATTCAAATCCCAGCACAGCCACTCAGTCACTATTTAACCTTGAACCAGAAAGTCTTCCTCTTTAGCCTGTGTTTTTCCCATCTGACCTTTAAATCCCTTCCACTGTGATTCAATGCAAACTGACTCCCTCTCAGGGAGACTGTAGGAGAGAGACAGTGATAGACAGGAACGGCCTTTTCATCTCTTGGAATAAAAGGCCCATGCACCAGAGAAATCGGATCTTTCCACCAGCCCCTTCTTGAGTACATCATCCTGACCATACAAGGCATGAAATCACCACTTGCTGGCCTGTCATTCATTGTTTAAGTCCCAAACCAAGTATGAGGCTCTCTGAAAGCTTGAGAGGCTACCTCAGGTAATTAGCCCATGAGGTTTAGAACGTACTCCACAGCTGCTCACCAAGGTGGTATGGTTAATAACCCCCACCTGGGTAGGATGGACAACTCCGGAAACCATCCAGGCATTTTGCTGAGGGTGCTTGTCACCTGCTGTCTCCAGCACATTGAGGAAAAGCAGGTAGCTTGAGAGTCTAAGAAGCCCTGGCTTGGCCTCGGCATCCCAGCTGTGTGGAACCTGTAGTGCAGCGTAGGAGCCAAAGGGACTGGCCTTCTGAAGGGTGACTGAACAATCAACTCTCAAAAAAAAGGCTAATTGGAGAAAATGCATTCACATTTATTTAACGTGTATACCCACAGCCTTCAGAATGCAGACCCAAAGATACAGGGGAAATTGTCCCTTTTATGCTTAGGTTCAGCAGAGTATGGACAGCCACGTAGAAATGTGACTGGACAGGAAGGGTGGGGTCCAATGTGAATGGACGAAGTGGGGAGCCCAGTTAGGCCTGTCTCTAGATTCTCTCTGTGAAGCATTCCTTCCTTCTGGGTGGGGGACAGGATCCTCTCCGCAATAGGGATCTTGAGATCTACACTCCCACATGGTAGATTTGATAAGTTTGTTTTTTTTTTTTTGAGACAGAGTTTCACTCTTGTTACCCAGGCTGGAATGCAATGGTGCGATCTCGGCTCACCGCAACCTCCGCCTTCTGGGTTCAAGCAATTCTCCTGCCTCAGCCTCCCGAGTAGCTGGGATTACAGGCGCGCACTACCATGCCCAGCTAATTTTTGTATTTTTAGTAGAGACGGGGTTTCACCATGTTGACCAGGATGGTCTCGATCTCTTGACCTCGTGATCAACCCACCTCAGCCTCCCAAAGTGCTGGGATTATAGGCGTGAGCCACCGCACCCGGCCAGATTTGATAAGTTTTTATGGCCAGTTTTTATACAGAAAAGCAGAGGGAACATTTGAGTGATGTTTTTAGGTTGTGTGGCTGGTTTTGGTGAAACGGGGTTCTGGGTTCTGGTTTCTATGACTCGTCTTGGGGAAGAGGGATTCTAGTGTCTACAGCTAGCCTCGGAGGAGAAGGGGCAGAAAGACAGGAGGGCAAGAGAAGGCCAGAGAAAAACTTTTGCTTCTGAAACTGCTTCTAAGGCAGTCATTTCAGGGTGTTGTTTCCTGAGCCCCAACAGTAAAGCCCATCCTTCCTCAGAGTCCTGAGTGTGCTCTGGGTGGGTTTTATGTATAGGTGTCAGGGGCAACTGTCTAGGATATGCGTTTGGAGCTAAACACTAAGAAATCTCCTCCCCGTGCCCATTGCCTCCAGCCACAAGGCCCGAGACCCGCCCCCCCCCCCCATTAGTACGGCATTCCTTTAAGGGTAATGATATCTTCAGCAGACATCATGATAAAAGGTATCATTCAGGCAGTTCATCAAGCACACAGCTAGGTGAATTACACAGAATTCTTATTTAACCCTTGCAAAGACCTGAGCCGATTACACCCCCATTTTACAGATGAAGAAAATGGTAACTCAGAAAATTTAGGAAATTTGCCCTCAGTGCCTTGGCTAGCAAGTGGCCGTGGATTCCCATGGCCTTGCACCGAATTTCTTTCTCTGACACTGTGGATGCCCCTGTGAGTAGCACAGTACATTGCTAATGACCTGCCATGAGCCACCTCGCATGTTATTTATTCACCCACAGGAAAGCCCCAGGGTTACAGGCAAGCTCCTGGTTCTCATGGGATGGGAGACAGGAGTAGAGAATGGTCCCACAATGAGAACATCTCCAAGATGGACTTTATGTTTTCTCAGGTTTCCCTGGGATTCACCTGTCAGGACACTCCCTTACCACATTATTTTTGCTCCCACAGAAACAGGAGGAGCTTACTACACTGCCTATTTCCCTCCCCCAGGTCCAGTGCAATCAATGTTGTGAAGATCTTGCGAGTCCTGCGAGTACTCAGGCCCCTGAGGGCCATCAACAGGGCCAAGGGGCTAAAGGTGAGTTGAGGGCAGGGGTAGGAAGGCTCCAGCGAGCCCCGGGGGAGTGAGAGCTCCACAGAGCCAACGGGGGAGTGAGAGGTGAGGGGTGGGTTGGAAGGAAAAGATGATGGTCAGGTCAAGTGGCTGCCATGTGGGGTCCCGGACACTGGTCCCACTGCATGTCCCTGTTCCGTAATGAACAGGGTAATAAAGGAGCCAGTTGTCCAAAATGGCTTCCCTAAGCAGAATGTGCCAAAGGGAGATCCCACGCAAACCCTGTGCCCCTGTGGTGCCGCCGTCCCTATATCCCTACCACTGTAAGATGGGCAGTTAGCAGGGTTTTTCTCCTCGTAGTCACGGAGAGTCCAGTGGGGACCTTTGCATCCCATTGGGGTCCATCACTTCCCATGTGACTCTGGGAGCATGACTTTGCCCCTCTCAGCCCAGTTACTCCCCGTTGTGGCAAACGGGCTGCCCTGCTACCTCCTGGAAAGGCTCCCGGCATCTTCTGAAGCCACGTCCCTCTCCCCTTCCCTTCCCACTGCAGCATGTGGTTCAGTGCGTGTTTGTCGCCATCCGGACCATCGGGAACATCGTCATTGTCACCACCCTGCTGCAGTTCATGTTCGCCTGCATCGGGGTCCAGCTCTTCAAGGTAAAGCGTGGGCTCCGTCGTGGTCCCGCTTCCCCCCTCCCATCAGCATTCCCGGGGAAGGGAGTTGGCAGATGCAGCACAAACAAGACAGTGGCCTGGGCCAGACTCAGCCTGGATGTCACCTCCACCTGCAGCCCGACTCAAGCTTCCGACCAGGGGAGGGAGGCATTGGGCCACCAGGCCAGAGGCCCCTCACTCTCTCCACTTCACCTGCCCTTCAGGCCACTGCCCTTCCTCCCTGTGGAACCTCTGTGTCAGTCACTTGCTTTAAGCTTGCAGCAGTGACCTATTATCAACAGCATCCTATCCCCGCTGCACCACCCAGCTTTCAGAGCCCTGCACTTGTCAAAATCACCTCCCGCTGCTTCCTGCGGGGCCCCTTGGCTACAATGAGGCCAGCGTCCTCCTTGGGTTCTGGTCCTTTTTGTCCTAACCCTTTTAGTTCTGCTATTCTCCCACCTAGAGCATTCTCCCCTGCCACCCCCAACTGTGTAAACTCTCATCTAACTCCTCTCTGAGCCCAGCACCGCTCCTCCCTCCCTGGCCAGACCTTCCTGAAGAGCACAGCTCCGATGGACCCGAGTTCCCGTTTTTGTATTGAAGTGCTATTTGTAGCACCGGCATCTGTATTCGCCACTGTTCAGTTCATGTGTGTCAGGCCCTGCCCATCTGGATTCTGCACTTTTTATCCCACTGTCCCTAGCACAGTGCTGGGCTACAGAGATGCTCACTAATTGTTTTTGGATTGCCTCACTGATTAATGAACATCTCTAATAATACTCTGTTCTCTGCCTTCCAGGGAAAGCTGTACACCTGTTCAGACAGTTCCAAGCAGACAGAGGCAGAATGCAAGTGAGTGGAGATGGGAGGGCAGCCAGGGCCACAGCCGTCAGCCCCGGGAGGCTGGAGGCTTGACCCAAAAGGAAGGACAGCTCATTTGTAAGACTGCAGTGGCACCTGGACTTTTGCCCATGTGTCACCTGGCCTCACTGACGCAATGTGTAGCATGTTTTGTCCCTGAAGTTTCTGCCCACTGAAGCTCTTCCTCTGGCTAGAACTGTGAAGTTCAAGCCAGGCAGTCCCATCCCACCCAGCATTCAGGGTCACTGGCAGCCCAGGCGTGAAGGAAGATCGGAGATCCCAGAGTAAACTCCTTCTCCTCCTCTCTCAGGGGCAACTACATCACGTACAAAGACGGGGAGGTTGACCACCCCATCATCCAGCCCCGCAGCTGGGAGAACAGCAAGTTTGACTTTGACAACGTTCTGGCGGCCATGATGGCGCTCTTCACAGTCTCCACCTTTGAAGGGTGGCCAGAGTGAGTATGTAAACCAAGGCCTCCTGAACCCTGACACTCAAGGGCCAGCACTGACTTTCCATCCCATCCCCAAGTTTTCTTAATGTCCCGCACTCCTTGTGGAGGTCATATTTTGCCGGGTCCTCCCCAGGCAGTGAGGTATATTTCCAGAACAACTTATAGGCCACTGTCACTGCTGAAACATAGACTCTTCTTTCTCTAGAAGGTGTCAAGAAACTCCCACCAAAAATGACCTTTTTTTTAGCTCTCTTTCCAACCTCAGCATGAGCCACGGTGTCAGAGGTATCTGTCTTGCCCTTACAGCATCTGGGAGCTGGGTGTAGGGAGAGTTTCTCAAATGTGGGCCCTGTGGTCACCATAGGATTCAAGATGACCACTCCCAGCATGCCCTTCATTGGGTAAAGATGGCTGAGATGCCTCTGTTTTATTGACTGGACCCCGTCTCCTTAGAAAAAGCCTTGCCTATATTTACAGTGGAAAGTGAAAAAGGGATGGGAGCGTGGGCCCCACTTCCACTGCAGAGGTAATGCATTCGTACCTGCAGCAGCCCGTGGGCCTTGCATTCTGCATCACCTCCACCAGGGAGCTTCCCGTCAGGTCCTTATAGCTTTGTAGAGACACCTGCTTTTCCCCTAATATGTATTCCAGTGACATTAGAATCTGAAAGTCAAAAAATTCTAAATGTTTCTAAGTCAAGAGCAATGCGTGGATCTTAGGTGAGAGTTATCAATCTTACGCAGTAAAACGTAGGTGATATCTAGAGAATAACCAACTGCTGTGCGGGGCTAGAGGAGGGGGAAGAGTGACACCTCCATGGGGCACGCGGCCCAGGCTCAGATGAACGAGATACATGTGTGAACTCCTTAAGTCTAAGACCAGGCCGTGGTGACCATGGGAGTAGCATGGGCCATGTGAGTGTTTTCATCTAAGTGGAAATTTGCTCTCAGAGAGATTTATGCTACATTCCCTGTAACATCCTCCGAGTCCACGCCAGTTTGCAAAGCTGTCTCAATATTTACCACTATTTCCAGTATTTGAAATCGATGTCCATGACTCATGTTACCTTTAAATAGTTCTTCCCAGTTTCAAAACACCTTCTTATACATTATTCTAAGTACCCTGCAAGGTAGGAAAGTCAGGAATTACTGTCTCCAATTTACAGATGAAGAATTTGAGCCTCAGAGAGGTTAAGCACTTTGCCCAAAGTCACACAGCCAGTAAGTGGCCGAGCTGGGACTCCAACCCAGAGCTGTCTCCTGCACCCTGACCCCTGGGATCCCTGTAGCAGTGCTGCCATCCTTCTGCAGAGGGGATCCAGCTTCTCCAGTTCCCTCTGTGGGACCTGTCTCCTCCTGCAGGCTGCTGTACCGCTCCATCGACTCCCACACGGAAGACAAGGGCCCCATCTACAACTACCGCGTGGAAATCTCCATCTTCTTCATCATCTACATCATCATCATTGCCTTCTTCATGATGAACATCTTCGTGGGTTTCGTCATCGTCACCTTCCAGGAGCAGGGGGAGCAGGAGTACAAGAACTGTGAGCTGGACAAGAACCAGGTAGCTTCCTAGGAAGGAGCAGAGGGAAGCAGGGCCCACCCTGCAGAGGGATTGTGTCTTCACTCCTCAACCAGAGTGGGCTCTTAGTCCTTGAGAGACCTGTGCAAAAGAAATGCGAATTCCTGCAAACCCCGGATCTGGCAAATGTACTCAGCCACCAAATACCTGTGATGCTTCTACTTAAGGATACTCTACGATAGGTTTTGTCAAAAAAACTGAAACAACTCATGCCCTATCTAGAAGTTGACAAGTTAGAAGGACCCAAGTGGGTCAGCACCACTGATATAGAGAAGAGAAACTAGAATTGTGAGGGAGTGCGGGCTTTGGGGGTGGGGACACGACAGCTTCAGGAAACCACTCTTATATGGTTTCTTAAGTAAAACCCAGAGGCCTGTGTGGGAGGTGGGGGCAGGAAAGAGGCTTAAGTGGGAGTGAGATGGTGACGCCAAGTATCGTGACAGGTTCTGTTAGCCGTGAAGAGCTGGCAGTGCCGTTGCTGAGTCAGGAAGCTGTCAGGGTAGGAGGTAGGTGTAGTCCCTCAGTTCTGTCCCCAGCATGGCTCCCACTGGGAGGAGCCTGTGGGGAAACACATCCTTGTCTGTGAATAAGGAGTGTTCCCACGGGAAGGAGCACAGCACGGTCCCTTGTGACCCCCGCCAGGCCAGCCAATCCCCTGTGAGTTTTCCTGTTTACATCTCGGCCACAGACTTGCCCTGCTGGCTAATGTATGGACCCTGGTTTGAAAGAAGACAGGAAAGAGGGGAGGCCGGTTAGAAAGTAGAAATGAGAGGCTGAGACTCCGACCTGGTATCAGGTTAACGATGGAAAGAACAGGAGGAGGTGAAATGTTCAGGCTCAGGCATTGGACATCAGGGCTGAGGCTTTGAGAAGAGGCCGGGGAGATTCCCCAGTTCCTGATCTGGAAGTCTAGGCACAGTGCAGAGAAATGGACTGGCTCTTTTCCAGAGTCCCAAGAATCTAGTTAGCCCAGAATCTTCTTCCCTGTCAATGAACTGTGTCTTTCCATCTTAGGGACACTGGCAAATGAGAAAGATTCATTTAGTTGGCCAAGCGTGGTGGGTCATGTCTGTAAAACCAACACTTTGGGAGGCCAAGGTGGGTGGATCACTTGAGGCCAAGAGTTTGAGACCAGCCTGGCCAATGTGGCAAAACCTCATCACTACTAAAAATACAAGAGAATAGCTGGGCGTAGTGGTGCATGCCTGTAATCACAGCTACTCAGGAAGCTGAGGCAGGAGAATAGCTTGAGCCCGGGAGACAGGTTGCAGTGAGCCGAGATCTCACTACTACACTCCAGCCTGCTGGATTTAGGACAGGAAAGAAAAACTGAGGAAAGAAGTAGCCAAGGAGGGTCTGTGGCATGGGAAGTAATCGGTGAGAAAGCCAGCTGTCTGTCGGTCAGGAAGCACAGTCTTAGCCATGCCAACTCCCTGAGGAGCCATGTGCCAGGCATCACGGGGACGGGGGAGATGTGCGATCCCTGCCTATGTGCTCGATACAGGGATTTGACAAAAAGGGGCTCTCTCCTTGATTAAGGGAGCCATGGAAAAATCAAGACATTTTCTAAATAACACCTTTGACCTGTAAGTGAGCAGCCGATGAGTCCTCTGACCACACAGTGTGTGGTTTCGTTCACATTCCACACTTCTCTGTCAGCCCCACACACCCTCCAGGTAACTAACTCCACTCTCCCCATCCTCGCCACCCTCCCAGCGACAGTGTGTGGAATACGCCCTCAAGGCCCGGCCCCTACGAAGGTACATCCCCAAGAACCAGCACCAGTACAAAGTGTGGTACGTGGTCAACTCCACCTACTTCGAGTACCTGATGTTCGTCCTCATCCTGCTCAACACCATCTGCCTGGCCATGCAGGTCAGTAGAAGGGGGAGCACAGCCATGGTGCCGTGGGAAGGAGCGGGCCATGGGGGTGGAAAGTATACCAGAACGGCAGGGCCTTCACAATGCATCAGCTGCCTGGTCTCCAAGGTAGGTAGCTGGAGAAGCACGAGTGTTCTCTGTCAAGGATACGCTTCTCTCTGGTCCTTAGGGAAGAATCCATGGCACCCTGGGATGATAAATGGAGAGAGGGGAGGAGATGGGGAAGGGAGGGAGTAAGCTGGATGCATTCCTTGTGTCGGTAAGGCATGGTGTATGGAGGTGGCTTCTGCATCCACCTGTCTTCAGGGACAGAGCTTGTGCCCGAGCTCTCTTGAGTGCCAGAAGTCTCCATAGAGTCATCACGACCAATCAGGGAAGGAACACAGATGTGTTCAGAGATGGTAGAGCAGGAAAGAGCCTGGAGGCTCTCCTGAGTCCTCCTGACTGCCCATGGAGAGGTGGGTTTGGTTTGGGGAAGGTCTTGCTGAGGCGAGGGCCTCCAAGAAGCCTGGGCAAAAGGTGGGGAGGAGGAGAGACCTCCCTGCTCCATGTTCACAGCTGTTTCCCTCTCCTGATACAGCACTATGGCCAGAGCTGCCTGTTCAAAATCGCCATGAACATCCTCAACATGCTCTTCACTGGCCTCTTCACTGTGGAGATGATCCTGAAGCTCATTGCCTTCAAACCCAAGGTAGGCCTCTGCGAAAGGCTTTTGGTTCCCCGGCATAAGGGGTGGGCAGAACGGGGAGGTGTGGTGCAGGTATTGAGGGAGAATGAGGGGAAGAAGACATGGTGAAGGGCCATCCCTGCCCTGATGATCCGTGCTCCAACTCCCACCCCTGCCCAGACCTGAACCCAGGCCAGGAAACACTCTTAGCTCATGGTGTTGACCCTGGCTGGGGTGCATAAGCAGCAGATTCCTCACTGAGCTGAACCTCTCAGCCTCTTCTTCTAGGAGAGGCAGATGATGGTCCCTCTCCTATGCCCCATTCTCTAGTATATAATCTGTTAACAGAAGAAACTATGTCCGTAGACTGGCAGACCAAACCTCTCCGGGCCTAGCTCCCCAGATCCACACAGGCCTCTGTTCCACCCTCCTCCCATTTCATCAGCCACACAGACCAACCTCATATAAAACATTCAGCCAGCGCTGGATTTGCTCAGGGCTCAGGACACCAGCCTAGAGGCACCTCCTGTTCCCTGCTGCAGAGGTTGTGGCTTTGCTCCTTACATGCTCTGGGACAGGAAGAGCAACTACTTGCAAATTTCTCTGCTTTGCACCTTGTGCAAGGGCAAAAGATTAGGCCTGCTGCTGAATGAGGTGGGGTTGGATTTCCTGTCCTTTGGATCATCTGTACTCTTCCTAGCTAGTCACCCCCACTGTCCTCAGTGGTGGAGGAGCAGATGCTGGTGTGAGCCACACCTTCTACCCTCAGCCTCTGTAGATGGGTCAGAACCACTGGCATCCACCGGCCAGGATTCACCACCAGGGCAGCTGCTTCTGAGGGGGGCTGTAATGGCAACTCAGCAGCCCCTAGGCTGCCGTAACAACTTTTGGAGAAGGAAAGAGTTCTAGGAGAATCACACAGTTACGGACTTCAGGCCCTTAAGGACAATCTCCAGTAACTGTAGACACAGTCTCTCTGGGCCCAGCCCCCCAGATCTCTCCAGCCTACTAAGCCTTATCCTCCCGCCTTTACTAGTTTTCCCAGATGCAACTCAGAGCAACAGGAGGCCAGAGCAAGAATTCCTCGCCATATCTTCATTTTCGTTCAAGTTTTTACTGGTCTCAAGATTAATTGGGGGTGGGAGGATCCAGCATGGTCTTTGAATCCATGTTGATTGAGGAGATATCCATAGTCTTCATTGAATGAATATTTAACTCATGCTTTTGAATCGGAATCATGTGCTACACATACATCGTCGCATGTTGTCCTCAAAATGTCCCTATAATGTAGGTATTGGCATCCCCCTAGAGAGGGGGCACATGAGACTCAAACAATTAAGCGCCCAGTATTATTTCCTCCACTCCTAAGAACTGGTAGAATCCGGCACCTCTGACTTCACTGTATTTTACACCACACTGAGGTTAACTAGCGTCTTCCCATGTCAAGTGCTCTGCAGCTATTTTTCAGAAAGAAGGGAAAGATCTTGAGGGACTTAAAAGATAAGACAGTATCCTACAATACAGAGTCTTCCTCCCACTCAAAGAATGCCTGGGGATGCCAGCTGATTTTCATAGAGTAAGGCTCCTAAGGGACATCCTTTGGTGATAGAATGGTGGTTTCCTGTCTTCTCTAGAGAAGCAAGTACTCTTTTTCACCTTCCTGTATGAGTCTTATTTAGGACCACAGAACTTGTCCTGACCTAGAGAAGACCCCTGGGTTGCCCTGACATCTTCCTTAGGGCACACGGTGTCACTGCCCACGCATGGCCCTATTCCAAGCCCTGCAGCCTAGGAGCTCTGACAGTTCACCACCCACAGCAGCATGACCAGCTGAGGCTAGGAGTGCAGTCACTGCCGAGCTGTGCCTCGGTCTCGGATGACATCCTCTCAGTGGGGAAACGGCATTGTTTGCATCCAGTGTCATGAGACATATGGTTTAAATATTTCAAAGCCTTGAGTCATTCCACAGTTGACTCAGACGTGTTTCTGATGATGTCTGAGGCGGTCTGGAGAGCCTGCAGTGGACTTTCTGAATCATGCCTCCTGAGCACTGGAGACATACGGACAACCTTCCCTGGGAAGTGCATGAAATTGACACCTGCAGGAGCCATCTACGCTCCACCTAAATCCTGCAAATCAAGGAACAAGCCAATTTCCTAGAAGTAACCACTGGAGGTGGACTAAACCATAAAGTGCCTCCTAATTTCCTCTATCCCTGGTTTTCTATTATGAGAAGATGGAGCAAGATAATGGAGTCTTTTACCTAAGAATGAAGAGAGTCATCCTGGGGCTATTTGCATTTCACAAGCCAGGGTGCATCTATGGTGTAAAGAGAAAGGGAAATTGATCTTTCCCTGTGGATTTCCCTAAAGGGGCTCTGGCAAGATGGGGAAAAAGATCACCTCCCAGTTGGGAGGATCATGGATCGCAGCTGGGTCCCTGGATTCTCACTGAGCTATATTCTTCATTCACGAATAGACTCCAGGAAAAGCGACTCCAACATTTTCAGGCAGAAAACCAAACTGGAAAACAATTGAAGCTCTGGAAGAAATATCCAGCTGCATCTGGCCCGAGAACCAGTGGCTTCCAACTGTGACAACTTTCATTTCCCACCCCTAACTGGGACCCTGTGCTGCACTTTTCATTTCCCTGGCCTGGTTGTTTGTGTATGACCCAGATGAGCATAAGCATTTGCTGCGAAAGGACAGCTAGGAGCCACGGATGTGGAAGATAGTCTGACGTTGTCACTGCTTATGTTTTGTCTCTGCAACTGGCTGGTTGGTTGGTCCACCAGCTGGTCAACTTGTATTCTTTCATCATCTTCATGGTTATGGATGCTCCCAATTCCTTCATTTCTGTGTGTTCTCACCACTCCATGAAAAATAAATTTTCTCAAGTCCCTGCCTTAAATCTAACCACTCCATCCCACTCCTTACATTCATACTCCGTTCACAAAAAAAGATTCACAGAAAGGAACTAGGGATCAACATAAACAGTTTAAAGTGAGTCAGTTCCCCACAAAGCCACAGGAACCTGCAGACATGGATTGAAGACAGTGGGGTAGATCGTGGCAGCATTGATTTGAACAGTGAACAGTGAGCCAGAAGGAGCTCCTTCCCTGGAAGTGAGAGGCCATGACCCAGAGACAACTGGATAGCCCCTGTGCCCCACATGATGGTTCAGGACCAGGCTGGGCAACATGAAAGTACTAGCTGGAATATTCTGAAAGTAACTAAACAACTGGATTGTCCTGTCACGAACTGAAGCTTCTAAGGAAGGATGGGAAAAGAAATTTTAAAGATACCCCTATAGATTTGCTAAACTGAAAAATATGCAATGCCTGAAGAAAAAATCTAACAAAAATGGCTAAGATCTCTACAGAGAAAATGGTAAAATGGAAAGGAATTCGAGAAAAGCTGATAAATGGAGACATCTAGAATGTTCCTGAATCGGAAAGCTCAATATTATTAAGATATCATTTCTCCTCAAATGATCCATAGGATCAATACCACTCCAGTTAAAACTCCCAATTGCACTTTGCTGGAGGTGAGAATGGCAGGAGAGGGAGCTGTGCCGCAAATCCTTTAGGGCCAACAGGATGAGGCTGGGTGGTCCCAAGGCTTCAGTGTCTTCGGGCAGCTCTGATGTCACCAAGGAGGGAGTGCACAAGAGCCTGGCGTGGGAAGCAGCGTCTGTCTCAGCTACTCCACTGTCAGCTGCTGGTTTGGTAGTGGGAGCAATGATGTCACTTAGTTGCCTGGGATTTGCTGTCCAGAATGTCTCAGCAAGGGTCCTGGGGGAGGAGAAGCTGCAGGAGGCCATGAGTGAGAGGCTGGGCTCCTCCTTAGTGAAATGTGGTATGCCCAGCAAGGCAGGGTTCACCGTGCGGAAGGCTCCTAACTCCTCCCCTCCCCACAGGCTCCCACCTGGGCCACAGAGGGGAGAAGCAGCTGAGACTCACCTCTGCCCCCCAGGGAGTAACCAGTGCTCATGTCCCCAAGAGGAGGACACTGGAGGGGCCTTGACCCTGGCAGCTCTCTGGAATGGTCCAGACGGGAGAATGGACCCAGAGTGAAAGCACTCATTGGCCCTTCTGACCCCTGCTTTCTTGAATAAGCTGCTGAAACCTGGAGAGGCCTGGCCCCATCCCCACGAGCTCCCAGTCTCTGCTCTCCTCTTTCTGTCTGGGCCTCCTCAGCCCAGCTGCTCCAGCTTCACAAAGCCAGATGGTTTCTCTCATACCCCTACCCTTTCTTCCGGTGATTTTCTGCCAGAAATTGAAGCATACGTCGTGGAGCCCCTCTTAACTAGGTTAGACAGTCTCTCGCCCTGGCCCGAGTGAGTTTCTCCTGTCAGCTCCCCAGCCATCCCTGGCTTTCCTCAGCCGGTGGCATCTGCGAGCACCCAGACTCTTTCCCTGAAGACTCTTTCCCACCCAGTCCTGAGCTGGTCCTAAGAAGGCAGCAAGCACAGGTGAGGTCTGGAGTTAATTTTGCTGCTGCTGACCCTCATAGGATGTGTCCCTGGTGATCCGTGGGGCACTCGGAGACTCTTTTCCACAGTCAATTGGACTTCTGTCTAGATTTCCCCATTAGCATTTTATTGACCTAGTGACACTGAAATCCGAGAGTCCTGAGCCCCTCCGGGTCCTACGCTGGTCCCTCTGGGGTGCAGAGCCTGGTCCAGCTGCTGGTCAGACTTGCTGCCGCATGGCCTCCCTGCTACTACCAAAACAGGGCAGCCTCCTCACCACGGCTCCTCTCCAGCCCTCCCACCCATGTCCTTGCCCTGCCCACTGGTCTCTGCTGGGCCTGTCAGGCTTGGCCCCGGCCATCTAAGTCATCTGGGCCTGTGGCTCCTGCCTGTCCCCCCGACAGCACACACACACAGAGAGGATGTGGCCAGCATTTTCAGAGTATTAGCTAAGAATGGGGCAGTAGTACAGTTGCCACAGTCTTGTCTGCTTTGAAGCCCCTGTTATCTTTCAGGAAAGGGTAAATGATGGCAAGCATTGGCCTTGGCTG